CCCCAAAACCCCAAAACCCCTTGATGATAAAGTTTATTATATAAATTAGAATTAATTATATATTACTAATTACTAAAATGAAAGATAAATTGTTTTGCTTCATCATTTTAATCTAAGTCTTATCCATTCCCATAATTTGCTCATACTCTGAATATGTTAAACTCAATGAAGGAGTTTTTACTGTGTCAGATGACACCATAAATATAATAATAGAAGATTACTAGTATATACTATTGATGTTCAGTGCTCCATTTTGCAATGAGTGTTAAGATTTAGATGATGAATTTAGCAAAGCAGCAAAGTTTATGTCTTAATAGAAACCATCAGTTTATTTCGCTAAAATTGATGGCCAACATAGTAGGAAAGCTGCAATTAAATATGATATTAGGATGTTTCCTTCTCTGCTCTTTTTTAGTAAAGGAAATTTTGAAATTTATACAGGTTAAACTAATACAGCCCAAGACTATCAAAATTGGATTAATAAAAAAATCTTCAATGGAGTTAAAGTAATCTATAATGAGAGAGAATACAATCGTTTGATTAAAAACAATGAAATCTTGGTCATTTATTTAGGTTATACTAATTCAACCCAATTTAAAAAAGCTTTTGAGATTGTAGCTAGACGTTATGATAATGCATTCTTTACAAGAATAGATACAGGATCAGAAATTGAAAAATAATTCTCAATAGAATCTTATCCAGCATTGTTACTTTAGACTAAATAATAGAATTTTACTTATAATGGTTATTGGGATACAAATTCGATCCAAAGATGGATCTCCCTTTAAAGTATACCCAATCCAGTTTATTATGATACATAATACTTCAACTAGTTATTTAAAGAAGAAAACGAAGCTATATTTTTATTCATAAACTATAAAATGGAAGAGCAAATTGATTTAGAGTATGAATTTCAGAAAATAGCTATTGACTTAAAAAGTGATTTGCCATAGGCTAAGCATATTATACTTGCGATAACTGATGTTAAAAATATTGAGCAAAAAAGAGTTGCAGATACTTTGGGTATAATAAAAAGCGATTTTCCTGTGTTGGCTTATATACATCCAACCGCTCAAGGAATTGAAACTCATATAATTTCAGATTAAGATATGATTTATTAGCATCTTAGCTATGATTATCTCAAAGAATTTATTGGTAATTTAACTCAGGGATAAATATAAAAGGTGATAAATTTCTAAAGTAAATTCCATATAGTGAACAAAAAGGGATCTATATTTGAAATATTAAGTAATTATTAACTGATTAGATGGATAAGGCAAAAATATGAAATGGATCTAATCATATTATTCTATAGAAGCGGGTCTTAGAAGGATATGTATTTACATTTTGAGAAAATTGGAAGTTAGTTCGATAATTAATTTGAGAAGATACTCTTCTCATCAGTTGATTTGGATTTTGTTGATGTATAATTTAGTATCCCTAATACTCCTACAATATGGTTGATACAAGGCTTTGATAGATATAGATAACCTCTTGTATTCTAATTTTAGCAAGACTACAATTTACTTATCATGTTTTTGCAAACAAACTCATTCGTCTTCAATGAATTCGTTTAAAACGATGGTAATTAATTTTAAATATCTCAAGATTTATGAATAAACTCTCTCTTGGGGTTTTGGGGTTTTGGGGTTTTGGGG